ATAAAGAAGACCAAACTAATGACAACAGATAAAACAACCAGCCTTAGAATTGATAATAAAAATATTGAACTGGTTGATAGCTTCCACCTTTTAGGTTCAACCATCAATAGTAAAGGAGCAACCAGTCAAGAAATACACCACCCACTAGTACTTGGTACAGCAGCCATGAAGGCTTTGGAAAAGATATACAAATGCCATGATGTGTTTATATCTGCAAAGATCAAAATTGTGCAAGCCATGGTATTCCCTGTGATGCTGTATGGAAGTGAAAATTGGACTTTGAAAAAGCAGAATAGGAAGAGTATTGATGTTTGTGAACTTTAGAGTTGGAGAAGACTTCTGAGAATACCATGGACAGCCAAGAAAACAAACCAATGGATCATCAAACAAATCAACCCAGAGTTTTCACTTGAGGCACAAATTACCAGGCTCAAATTATCCTATTTCAGACATTATGTGAAGAAAATAGCTGTCTGGAGAAGGCTCTAATGCTGGGAAAGGTGGAAGGAAAGGGAAGAAGAGGATGACCAGCAGCAAGGTGGATGGACTCAGTCCAAGTGGCAATGAGTGCACTGTTAGAAGACCTGAAAGACCAGTTCAGAGACAGATCATCATGGAGAAAATCTACCTATGTGGTCCCTAGAAGTTGACAATGACTTGATGGCCCATAATCAATCAATCAATCAGTCAATCAATCAAGAGAGAGCCACCCTGGAAGCAATCACCACTTTATTTCCTATTAAACATTCCTAGCTTTGAGGCAGATACTGTGAATAAGGTGGAAACACAAGAAGCAAAATTAAAGAGGCCAGATGGCACAGAAAGTACATACCCTAAAATAAAATAGTTATAAAATGAAAAGCACAGCTTAGTTCTTTAAGCCATCTACTTCTATTCCTCCAGCAAAACTCAGAATAATTTGCTAGGCTTTGGTGGCTTTAAAGTGAATCAGTATTATTCCTTGGTGTAGTGCAATAGTAATCACTACCAGAACAGAATGGAAGGGGTTTTATAGAAACCTCATATAGAAATTTATACATCAGACTAAACATAATGTGATTTTATTTTATTTATTTATTTATATATCAAATTTATATCACCGCCCAACTCCCCCACAAGGAGGGAC